AGGTGGGCAAGCTACTGGAACATACAGATTTTTGACCGGATTTTACGGTCTGGCAGCTATGCCAGCTGAGTTTCAAAAAGCTATGGACAGAACATTGAACCATGCGGAAAATACATTCTGTTTTCTGGACGACATACTCATTGTGTCTAAAGGAAGTGAACAAGAACATGAAAAATTGATCTTGAATGTGCTGGAAAAGCTAGAAAAAGAAAGTTTGGCACTAAAACTGTCGAAATGTGAATTCTTTCAACAGGAGGTGAATTGGTTGGGACATAAGTTATCGTTGGAGTGTATTTCTCCAAAGATAACCAAAACGGATGCGATTTTGAAGCTTAGTCCGCCAACTTCACTGAAACAACTCAGATCATTTCTGGGTAGCATAAATCATCTGGCCAAATTCATTCCAAACGCAGCCACTTTAACTGAAAAGTTAAGACCTCTGCTGCGAGAAGAAAACGAAAAGAAAAAACTCAAAAGTGTGAAAATTCAAGTAAAAAAATTCGAATGGAAAGAAGAACACTCGGAGATATTTGAATCGATAAAAGCAGCGGTTGCGAATATAACAAAAATTAATTATTACGACCCTAAGCTACTTACTAGGGTAAAATGTGACTCCAGCCATAGTGGACTGGGGGCATCGTTGGAACAAAAAAACGGGGAGGGGGAGTGGATACCGATTGCATTCGCTTCCAGATATCTAAACACACAAGAAAAAAATACTCCACAAATGAACAAGAATTGCTAGCAGTAGTATGGTCTGTTGGCCGATTTAAACATTATTTGTTAGGAAAAGAATTCGTGATAGCCACTGATCATAAAGCACTGGTTTCTGCTTTGGATGAACATAAGTCAAACAAAACCTACCAATCTAGGTTGGCTAGATGGGTAGACTGATTACTACCCTATCAATTTAAAGTTATTCATTTACCAGGAAAAGATATGGGTATAGTAGATTACCTATCTAGAAACCCGAAAGGTGAACCATGGCCGGAGTCAGTATTGGATGAAAAATTTGTAGTCACATCGATTGAAAGTTTTCATAAAGCTCTCGACTGTTTAAACAGTCGACTGAGTGAGCATGATGAGCTCGACCGGAACGAAAACGTTCTGGAATATTCTAGAATTGATCAAAATGTATCAAATCAGAACACGTCATCTACCCGTTGCTATGGCAACCAAAACGGTCCAAAACGGACAAAGCACGACCGGAACGAAAAAATGAAGATTCACGTTGGTTTCAACGAGAAAAGTCTGAAAACTCAAAAATCAATTTATCTCAAAATCGTCAGCAAATACAGTTGGTCGAATCAGTTAAAAAAATCGTGAAGTTATCAAATTACAAATCAGAAAAAATGCATTCAGGCGAAACAACTAAAAGAGAAAAAGAAAAAAAGATGGTCAGAATTCAGGATCGGAATAACTCAGACACACTAAGGGAGGAAATAACAGAAACAACGTTCCAAAGAACCAGAATATACAAAGGACCCCAAACAAATCAGAATCAGACAATTCGGACTCTGAACAAATACCACAAGCGCATTGGAACACGCTGTATAGACAGATCGGAACAGACACAGGAAATAGTGGTCAGTCAACGTCAACTGCCACAACAGCCCAACCTATGTTAGTTTCATTTTGGGAACTAATAGGATCGAAAAAGAATGAAAAACCCCGGCCAATGGAATTAGAAGCCATTTCGGTGATGCAAAGCCCGAAACCATCGAAACAAACTCAATCAGGAGATGAAACTGAAATTGGACAAATCGTTGAGGTGGACCTAACGATGGACAGCATTGATGAACCGGACTACAGTTCAGGAACTGAGACTTGTATGGTCACACCGCAACAGAAGACGAGAAGTGGCCATAAATCGCGGAAAAGCAGTTACCAACTGTCGGAGCAGTTAAAGGAAACAAATAGTCCACTATCACTTGTAAAATTATTCGACAAAAGTCTAGTGGCGGAACTAGTATCAGAGGATACTTGGATGGATCGGCTCAGACGAGTGGTGGAACGGAACGATAGACATGGGTATGAGCTAATGGGCCCATACACCAACCCTCTGGGGCACCAGATGTCGGTTGTTGATGACTGCCTACTGGTGGACAATCGTTTAGCCGTACCTGAGAAGCTGCGACAAGCGGTGCTTTGGCGACTTCACCAAGGACATCCTGGCCAAGAAGCGATGTTGGAGGTCTCCAATTGCTTATGGTGGCCACACATGCACAAAGACATAGTCAATATGGCCGAAGAGTGTAGAATTTGCACTCGTTATGGTAAGAATGCTAAAAATTTAATCCCAAAAATTCGGCCAAACCACTTCCACTGTTGACACAGCCTGGGCAAGAGTTACAATTAGACTATGCGGGTCCACTTGAAGACCATAAGGGAAAGAAGATATATTTGTTAGTTGCTATTGATAGATACTCAAAATTTCCGTCAGTCAAAGTTACGAAATCTACAGGGGGAAAATCAACAATAAAATTTCTACGTACCTACATTGACACACATGGAATACCAGAATCGTTTAAAACGGATCAGTTTTCAGGGTTTAAAGGAAAATCAATGAAAAAATTTTGCACTGAAAATAATATCATTCAAAAATTCTGTCCAGTCGGTGATCATCGAGGATGTGGATTAGTCGAACGAACGATACAAACCATTAAACGAAGATTGGGAGTAATGCTACTCAAAGAAGAAGTACAATCTATTAAATTGTGCTTGAGCACAATAATTAGGGACCTAAGATGGAACAAACAGAAAACAATAAAGTTGTCCCCGTTTGAAGCGCACTTTGGTCGATTACCTAAAACTGTGTTTAAAATTGTAAGGGATAAATTTCTGAAGGAATCTGATCGCTTAGATAAAGAAAATTTGGAGAGATCGGCGTTAACAGCATCGCAGTTGAAGAGACGCATCGATCAATCCAGGGAAAACGTAAAGGTCATCCGAAAAGGACAGAATAGCCGGGACGTCAGCCCACTGTTTCTACGCAACACTGCGGCGGCCAAAGAAAGAGCTATGGCGAAGGAGTTAAAGCAGCTACTAGAGGCCAATGCGAGATGGAATGTCACCAGACGGGATATCTCAGATAGCGAACTACGACGAATTGTAGACGAAACGAGCACGATAAATCCCGAACTGAGAAAGGAACTTCTATACTCATGGCAAAAAGGATTTATCGAGGACAAACAGACTACAGCAGATGATAGCATGTCAGGAAGATTCCTCCAAAAACACGAGCAAAGAAAGAGTGGAAAGGCCTTAACAATACCGCTGAAAGGCAAAGTAGTAGCAGAGACACCGTCAACAATCAAAACGGCTGCTGGTGCAGTATATCGAAAGAGCGACATAGCGAGATCAAAACTGCATACACAGCCCAAAGCACAGAGCTCGGAGAAGAAGAGGAGCCCAACGGGGGAAGAGCCTAGGAGCAAACAACAGAAGACAGTTTTACATCAGGAAGACGTAGACAGTGAGTCGGCTGAAGAACATGACGCGAAAGACCAGGGGCCAATCGATCAGGAGTTAGAAGACAATCGACTGTTGGACGTTTTGAATGAAGTTTTAAAACTCGCCAAACGTAGTCACGTCAAGAGAAACAAAGACGGGCGGGGGACTGAATCTAGGTGGAAAAAGGGTTATGCCAAATAGGGCAGGACCACTAGTCCAAAGCGCAAGATCTGGAAAAACCAAGACACAAGAGCCACGTTCAACAAAAACTGTTGAAACAGCAAAAGAATCTAAGAAGCGGGATTGGAGTAATGAAGCTGTATACATAGAGTCATCTGCACCGAAAGAAGCTCCAGTGAGTAAAAGGATTACACGGCAAACTAGTGAAAAGGAAATTCTGGACACATTCCAGAATAACAATATGACAACAAAAGAATGGGAGGACATCACAAACCAGGTTTTGACCCGAGGGGTACAAAACGAAGCAGAAAAACTACTGAATCAACAAGCGGAATCAGTTGTCAATAACCCGGCAGTATTTGCGGACGAGTCGGACAAAGAAGAAGATACAACAACAGTCAGACGAAGCAGTCGACAAACAAAGAACCAGGGTCCAAAGAGATACGGCAGCCCGGTATCACACTCAATAAAGTTGATTAGTTGTGACGACGATGTATCAGAGCTAAACTTGGCAGCACTTGAGGCCTACAGATTGAGACTGGCACAGTTGAACATCAATAACAAAGAAACAACATTGGAGAACAACACGTTTGACTTACTAGAGAGACATTTGTTCAAAAGGAAATTCGGAGCTACATCGTTGGATGAGTCGGGATCGTGGAACGCTGCAAGAAACAAAGCGGAAGTGATGAAGAAAACAAGCAAGGAAAACTAAGCTAAAATGAAAACAATTTAGTAAACTGAGATTTATATATTATTTATAAAATTTTATACAGTATTATATAAAATTTTGTTGTACTCAAGGGAATGTGGTACCGTGTAGTACTGTTGCCACAGTAACCTTGGATAAAGTGTTATTAATATTCTGTTATGTATTGTTAGTATTATTCAAGGCCATCCATGCAGGCCAAACGTAACAGTCATTTGGACAGTTGCGATCATAGAAGACACATGAACGTGATCTCTAACAAAACTAAGCAATTCAACAAGACAGAATTAAAGGTTTTAAAATATTCTCTTTTGCTCTTACTTACCCGTAGCATAGCAATATCACATGCATAGAAGCGGGTCTAAGCTTTTCTTATGAGGGGAAAAAAGGTTTTCAAAATTTCCAAAGGCGCTTTTGGACAAAATTTGGGATGGGTCAGTCAAAAAAGGAGGTGGCAAAATATTACCAAAGAGAACCTTTAGGTGGCACCTTTCTCCTCATGGGAACTTTTATCGTCAGGGGTCGAATCCCTGAGAAGAAGGGCGTCCAACCCTCCAAAATAACTAAACAGAAAAATCCGCTGCTGGTTACGCAATCCGTCTGAATTTTGTACTAGGGGGAGAATAGTTTGGAAGGGGGTAGTTACAAAAGATCCAATAAAAAGAGCCATGATATTTTCTGTTTTCTGTTTAGAGGATATTCGGCTGAGTGGACGCGAGAGTGTGGCAGAGAGTGACTATGAAGTGCATGTGATTCTGTGCAGATGGTCACTGTCAGTCATCCTGGCCATAATTAGTGGCCTCCTCTGTGGCCACCTGTCTTATCTCTACACTAACCTGTACAAGATGACATACCATAACGTGCCCATTGTTGAACCACTCATGGTAAGTATGGACTTCATCTCTGTCTGAAACGGACTGAACTAATACTAAGCCTGTATAATATCAAATAAACGGTGGCTAACATCGGGAATGATATTTAAATCTTATGAAAACTAAGAAAGTTGTAATTGGCTTTGTTTGAGCTAGCTAGATGCAACGTGGTTTACAAGTAGCAAGTTAACTGAATAATGGAATAAGTAGTCTCTTTGATTATAACCTCATTAAAGGCGTTTATTTATGCTTGGTGTGTTTTATTATTCAGTCAACTTTCGAATTCTAAACTAAGCATTTTGACGGTTTTTTTTACCATGTGGATCTGAGAGATATCGTTAACGTACGCTGAAAACTATTTTACCTGTGATCGTTTTTGATGACTATGAAAAAATGGCTATGTTTTTGATAACAAGAGAAAGAGTTTGGAGTGATGCCAACTATTTGGCTATACAGTGCTGATTTAAATTAAACGGATAAAACGAGCTAAACTTGAAACTTAAAACGCGTTTTTCTCAAATTGGGTCGAGTTTAGGTGAAAACTTATGGAGACAAAACTTGCCTAAAAATTTAGCAGAATTAATATGATGTAGTTTGTCTTGCGAAATTCAGGTCAAAAATGGGTCATTTCGACTTTTCTTAGTTAATCAAAAATTACGCCAAAAATACCCAGTCGATCACAGAGATATTTATATCAAAGTGAGTCCCTTACGTAGTCCAACAAACTTTAAGAAGGGTAAATTCTCCAAAAAAAGTTTGTAAACCTTTCAAAAAATGTTTTTAAGTAAAAAGTTGGTATTTCAGTAAAAACGACCTTTTTTGTCTATCAAATAAAACTAAATTAACTTATACAATGTTTTGGAGAATATAGCCTTCTTAAAGTTTGTTGGACTACGTAAGGGGCTCACTTTGAGATCGACTGGGTATTTTTGGCGTAATTTTTGATTAACTAAGAAAAGCCAAAATGACCCATTTTTGGGGTAACATTTTTGGCCTGAATTTCGCAAACAAATTACATCATAATAATTCTGCTTAAATTTTAGGCAAGTTTTGTCTTCATAAGTTTCCACCTAAACTTAACCCAATTTGAGAGAAGGGCGTTTTAAATTTCAAGTTCAATGCGTTTTGTCCGGTTAATTTAAATCAGCACTGTATTTGCTGATCTGAGCATTTCATCGGCCAAAAATGGTGCTTTGTAAATTAATTAGTTTTTTGGCGCTGTTGTTATGTGCTAAAATTAGTGAAAAATGGTGTCGGACAACAAAATGAGCAGTTTTGGGTTATTTAACTAGCTCAGATTTGTTGACCTAAAAAGATGTCTGTCATCATTTTGGCATTAACTATAAATTACTAATCCATTATTCTTTGCATGTTCATCAGGTGTTCTGTCTCTTCTACTTCTCATACATCGTGGCCCAGATGTTTGGATTTGGAGGCCCTCTTGCGGCTACCACCTGTGCGCTTTACATGTCTGTCTACACCGAACCCAGGAAAGAAGTTTCAGTTTTTTGGGAGCTCAAAACTTGTAATCTGAAAAATATATAAAGGCGAATTAACTGCTAACAATTTGGTCCAGTTTTCAGGGGCTGATTTAGGCTTTTTTTTATTCGAAAACGACTAAAAAGAGTTTCAAGCTGTCCCAAAACAATTAAGAAGCCCCATTTTGAAAAAACCTGACTGCTGCAAGCAAATTTTTTGGCAGAAATTCCCTTACACTCAACCAAGGGCGGATTTAGGGGGGAGGGCGGGGGGGCGGACGCCCCTTTCTCAGGGATTCGACCCCCTGCCGACCCAAAGGGTCCCCCCTTTGGTACTTTTTCAGAAATCCAGTTTTGGCCGACCGACCCTAAAATTTTTTTAAAGGCGCCTTCGGCGCTGAAAATTTTGCCAAAATAGGGGCAAAACAGTGCTTTGGGAGAGCTGGAAAAATCAATTTGTTCGACCTAAAAAAAAAAAAGATCGTCAAAATTCTCGAATTTTTTTTTGAAAATCCCCCCCCCTCGAGAAAATCCTAGATCCGCCCCTGCACTCAACTAAGAAAATTTTTTGAATTGATCGGCAAAAGTAATCTGCCGTAAAATGGTTCAAATGAATTAAAGGGTAAAGTTTCGATGTCGTTTGGTAAAGGTATCGAACCCCCCTCTAGTGGAGGCTGTGTAAAACATACCTATATTATAATTTGATGTAACTAGTTACTAATGTCAAGGTCATCGCTGTAGTTAGCGTAACATTCACGTATCGCCAGAGGCGACGATGTTTGTATGAATTCAAGTTGTTTCTCTTAGATTTTGACATTTCGTTGCGTTGCTATGTGACCACAAAATTACTTACACACCCCTCTTCCTTAGTCCTTCTATACTTTTTTGTAGTAATTTTGAGCAAAAAGAAACCGTGTTTGATCCAGAAATATTTAATTTTTCTTGTTTCTACTCAAAACCATGCATTTTTAGTCTGCGACTTGTTTGTTTACAGGACTTCGAAGAGAAGTCGGCACGTGATTAGGGGCTGTCTCCGCATTCTGGTCTCTATCTCCGAGTGGTTCGCTTGTCTGTCTTTAGTGCAACACATCTGCTACCACCAGACACACCTGTCAGAGATACTATTCGACAGCATCGGGTAACTAAACCACACCACCTCACAGATGGAAAATCAACAAATGAGAGAATCGTTCGAGATGTAATCGATTTTGTAGACCATGGCAAAAAGGATTTTGGTCTTTTTTGAAGTTTGATAGAGCTCGGAGAGTCAAATTTTACAAGCCAAACTTTAAGTTCCTGTTTTTAAAGTGTCAATGAAAGATTTTTCGGGTCTTGTGGTTTTTGTTTTTTTTTTCTGGAAAAAAGTCTTATATTTTAATCGCCCCCGATTTTTTTTTCCGCGGTTGATATTTTTTAAATTTTTTTTTTCCAGTTCAATTCGAATTCATTTGGTAAAACGAAATAAAATTTCGTTGATTTACTACAAAGCTGCAAATGACGCAAAAGCAGTGATAGATTATCTGTTTAAAAAATAAATTTTAGTTTTATAAAGTACCAGCGGAGCAAAAAACTTAATGGTCAAGTTTTCTTAAATGGGTTAACGTTTTAGCTCAAAAAAATTTGTTGTATTTTGACATTTTCTATCGCGATATTGATACTTTTTGAAACTCACAAGTTAAAAACGTCGAAAATATTTTGATTTGTATAAGTTCGTTGACGTTTTTCCGACTGCCTTGTTGATTGTATTTTAATTTGGTTTTTCAGTGTTAATTTTTTCATGCACATTCTAAATTTATCTTAAGTTTGAGAGGCGGAGGGCTAATCACTTCATAAAACCACTCTTCTGTTTTTGATTTTGTAGGAACTGGAGTTTTGCCGTGTCAGTGTTCATGTTTTCATTCGCCACCAGAAGTGTGCTCACCTACTCCATATGCAGTTGCTTCAATCTGTGGTATGGGGAGATGACACTTCCGACTACACACCCATCCCTCTACGCCAATCAAACCAGCCAGCCAATCAGTCACGCTCTTTTCCATTTCGCTCTCTGCACCTGATATTTTAAATAGTTACCTAATCAATGATGCTTTTTTGAGATTCAATGCACGAAGTGAAGTCTCCTATTTAGGTCGTGATGATTTTTTTGTTCTAATTTTTCAAAGTCTTAAAGTTTGTTCACGCTTAAACTGAATTTCCTGGTTTGACAGAAAACGGTTGGTGATCAAAAAAATGGTTTGAAACAAAAAAAATTTATGCCCTATTGAAGATATCGACTCCTTGAAATCAAATTTAAAAAAATATTTGACGTCCGATCATTTTTAGCCATGCTTTTACTAATTTATGCGTACTTTGAAGATTTTATTCGAATTGCTGAAAGCGTAACGCAAATTATTTATACCTGGCAAAGTATCCCGCACAACAAAATTGTTCCAAAAATGAATTGAGACAAGTTCTTTGGTCGAAATAATTTCGTATGACCTAAATTTGTACACTAGATCTTTGATAATGTTCAAAATTTATAGTTTTTCAATATCTTATTTTCAGAAAAATCTTTCAATATGAGTTAAGGGGCAGTTGGAACATTCAGGGCTTTGCCCTGATATACGAGCCGTCTTATTGTTCCGACTTTTGTAACAAAAATAACAGTACATTTGTGCTCGGGATAGTTTTTTTTTTCTTCAGACACTTTTCGACTTTTTAACTAGCCATTTTTGACGGATTTTTATTTAACTATTCAAAAAATATTGTGAAGATTTGTAAAGATATTTCAGCTGTGATTGTTTTTTGTAAAGTTATAGGGGTTTAACGGTTGCCATTTTGGCCAATTTGGGACAATTAACGCGCGATAAATTTCGTCTATTAACCCGTAAGCGGAGATTTAATCAGTCTTAGAAATTGTTCCAAATTGGTAGGAGGAAAGTTATTTTCCATAATTGATTTGTTACTAGGAGCGAAATTTATCGCTTTGTACTTTATCTGGCGTGTGGGGGATGATTTTCTCCAAAAATCTTAAATTTTTACTTTTTTAAATTTTATTTCTATTAAATTTAATTTTTTCATGTTATAACTGCTCCATAGACCTTAAAAGGCAGTAGGAACATTCAGGGTTTCGCCCTGTTACGAGCAATCTTGTTTCTTTTCAAGTTAAGTTCAATTCTTTTTGTTTGAAGGAAGGCAAACTCCACTCGAACAGCAAAAGCGTAGAGATCACAAAAAACGTGATCGAATTCTAGTTTTGAAAGTGGTTTTCATTTTTCAGATGTCCCAGCGGAACAAAAAAATTATCTTTTGATCCAAATTTCTCAAATTGGAATAATTTCATCAAAAAAATGTCAATCATAAGTTACTCTTGATTTTCAAAGAGCTTTAAGTCCAAAATTTTTCTTCTAATTTCGTCCGAATTCAAAAGTCGAAGTTTCTTTTTCAAAAAATAATTCAATTTTTTTTTCTGTTTTCCTTCGCGCCTTGTTTTATTCTAATTATCTGTTAACAATTTTGCATTTTTTCTATCTCAGTCAACAGCAAAAAAACCGTTATGATAACCTAATTTTTTCTCGGATAAGCATTACAAACCGCTATCTAATTTTTTGCTTCCAATATAACTATAAGGCTAACTCGCGATTTACAAAACGTGTTCAGAATGGTTTGTTAACGGTGCCAGTTTTGTCGCTTTTAAACGAATAAGTTAGCAATATTTTTCAATTTATGAAAGAAAAGTCAGTAAATGGAAAAAAGCCAATTTTCAGCAGACACACCTAGTCATCATCATCATCAGCAACATCATCAGAATCATCATCAGCATCATCGCCATCTACATCATAATCATCATCATCATCAACCAACGTCAGCTCAAAATGGGGGCAACCAAAATAATAACCTGCTCGTGAACCACAACAACAACCATGATGGCATCTACAATAGAACAAAAAGTGGCTTCAACGAGAAGGCAAGCTCGGAACTTAGCGGGATAAGTCGAAAAGTAAGATATTAGCAACTAGGATCTATATTCATCTCTATTATAGAAAACTAACATTTTTCTCTATAGTATGAAGATTTTGAAACTAATTATTATCGCTATATTATCAAAGGGGGACCCTTCATGATATGCCAAGAAATTTTCAAGTTTTCTGTTGATGCGTAGAATAGGATGCGAACATTCCTCTTCAGAAATCCTTTCAAACTGAATCAGGCGCGGATCTAGGAGTTTCTCGAGGGGTGGATTTTCAAAAAAAAAATGAAAATTTGGTCGACTTTTTTAGGCCGACCGAATTGATTTTCCGAGCCCAAATCACTATATAATCGCCCAAATCACTGTATAACTAAAAAGACCCTATTTTGAGAAAATTTTCTGCGCCGCAGACAAATTTGTGGAAAAAGGCCAAAAAGGCGTTTTTATGCACTTTTTGGAAAATTTCTACCAAAAAATTGCGTTTTTTCGGCGTGCGCTCCCCCCTCAAAATTAGTATAGATTGGCGCCAAAGGCGCCTTTAGAAAAGTTTTAAGGCCAGTCAGCCAAAATTGGATATCTCAAAATAGTACAAAGGGGGACCCTTTGAGTCGGCAGGGGGTCGAATCCCTGAGGGGGGGGGGCGTCCGCCCCCCTCCCTAATTCTGCTACTGAACTGAATTGAAACAAAGATTGATGGCATCCCTGTAAAACCTTGAATGTTTTGACTGTCCTTTAAAATATCTGAATCTTACTGTTAAAATAATAAGACTGCTCGTATGAGGGCAAAGCCCTGAATGTTCCGACTGTCCATAAACTGGTCTCGATAAGTTTTTGGTTTATGGAATATTGACAAAAATTGATATTTAAGCTGACTATTAAGGATCGTGTATGGACTTAATAAGACCTATTAGCCAAGCCAGCCTCCATTGAACTTGGATTGATGTTGTGGTGCAGGATGATTCGCCACGCGTGAAAAACGCGCGTTAAGCTTCAGCATCAAAATACTCCAGCGCTCTTACAGTCACGTAAGTCTAATACTTAGCGTTTCGCAGCAATCTCTATGTCAGGATAGTTCAATGGCTAGCGCGCCCTTGCGGGTACCTTACGAAGATCCTTTGATCGATCCCCCGAGGGAAATCTTTTTGAGAACTATTCTGAATAAAAAACCACCCCGAGCACATATTCTCCTTTCTATTAGCCGGAATATTAAGCTTTCTAAAATTTCAGCTGTTTTTGGGTGTTTTTGCGAGCATAATCACAAAATGATTTGTTTTTCATTTAGTAACGGGTCATTTGGACTAAATTATATGTCTCAACTTATATTATATTAGTTTCTGAGCCGTCCCTGTAAGCCACTAACCCTACACATTAAAAGAAAACGCAAATAAAAGAATTATTGATAAAAATTTGGCCTTTATGATATATCCGATGCTTATCATATTGGCCAAATGCTTATTTGTGGTAGTTGATTATGCGTGGAAAACAAAACGTTGAAAAAAAAGTAAAATACACTCGAATACAAAGTTTCTCCCCATTTTCAATGGTCGGAACAACAATTCATTCGAAATCGATTATACTTAAGTATAAAGGATTGTATTCTCACTAGTTTTAGCAAAATTTCAGCAAAACTTGCAGTAACTTCTGCTTTAATAACGACCATTGGCGAAATTCAAAATCTCGTTACTAAGCAGCAAAATTAAACAAAAACTTTTTGTTTAACTTGGCTTAAGACATCAATTCATTCAGATGTTATAAAATCCACATTACTGTGGAAACAAAACGTGAACCACAGTACAATCACGTTTTTTTTAGAAAAATTTATAGCCTTGTCTTAGCAAAAAAGAGACGAAAATACTTGCTGATGCTTGGAAGCATTGATGCTTTCAAAATAGGATGAAAACATTCGTCAAATAAAAAATAATAAGTGTTTCAAATCACATGTTAGAAGACTCTTTGTTTTTGCACTTGACTTTGTTTTGAAAAAGTGTTACTATCTTAAGCAAAAGGTTAGTAAAACAGGACCGCAAAAGCAAGCACGTCAATTTCTATTTTCCTATATTTTCAGTACGACCACACTGGAGTTTCATTGATGAATATGACTATAAATGAAAAATGTTGTCTAAATCACTGTCAATTTATTCCAATAAAGTTGCAAATTTTCACCATGACGCACATTTTTCTTTATTCAATTTTTTTCTGCAAGTATTTATTCTATTAAAAACCAAAATCATAGTTATTACCAAGGATAGCCGGTTACTGTGCAAGTTGCACAGACTGTTCCGACCACAGTCTTAAAAATACAAAAGTGTTTACTCAAATTGGTGTCGTTTTTTTCTGCATGTTGTGATAAAAAAATCTGAACGAAACAATAGAACGTAGGCATATTTGAGAGTCATAGTAAAACAGGTCAACTGGAAATTAGTTTTTGAAAAAAAATGACTAGAAAAACGAAAAAAAAATTGAAACTTTTTTGCGGACATTTTTTGAATTTTCAGGTTTTTGATTCCCAAAAAAGGCTAAAAATTCCAAAAACTAACTTTACTTGAGAAAAACTAATTTTTCATGGCCTAAATTAAGCTTAAGTAAGCTATTGTGGCTCAAAATTGACCAAAAATCAAAAATTTCAAACCGGTTTTTCTCGACACTGTGAAATTTTTTTGAAGTTTTTAATGTTGTTCGAATGGCGACCGAAAGGGCTTTAATATGATATATCACTCCAACCTGTACGATGCTTATTTGTACAATAAAATACACTCGAATACAAAGTTTCTCCTCATTTTCAATTGTCGGAACAACAATTCATTCGAAATCGATTATAATTAAGTCTAATGGATTGTAGTCTCAATATTTTTTGCAAAACTTCATCAAAGCTTGCATTAACTTCTGCATTACTAACGACTATTTTACTCTTAAAGCCTCTTCTCCGTTTACATTCTTCTCCCCTCCCTTCCCAACCAACCAAGCTTGCCAACGAACACGTTTACTATCCTTTCTCCCAGTTTACAGCCCCGTAAACTTGGAACGTAAATGTGTGCGGGGTAAAAAATAAAATCGTGAGCGGGTTCCATCCGCAAAAAAGACAAAAAAATCACAAAGCATTGGGGAGCCAAAATAAAGAACAGCGAAAGCTGAAAAACTTAACATTTTGTATTGGTGAAAAAAGTGATGAGAAAAAATTGAAAAATAGCAAGTTTTGTTTGTTTTTTTTTTCAGGAAAAATGTCTTAAAATGCTCCTTTAACTACAGATGTACATTCTTACATTTTCATAATTTTATGAATGCCATTAGGTATATACGCAGTTTTTGATCTCAATTTAATTTCATCTGCTCAAAGTTCAATGGTTTGCGCTCCTCTCCAAAAACGAACGTGGAAATGGCGCAAAAAAAAACGTACACGAATTCTAGTTTCAAAAGTAGAATTTGATTTTAGGGATTCCAAGCGGAAAACAACTTAATCAGTTGATCCAAATTCTCGAATTGAGGTAATTTTATTAAAATTTCAATCATAATTTCTTCATGAAATTCAAAAAAAGGATGAAGTCAAAAAGGTTGTACTATTGAAAAACGAAAATTGAAGATTTTTCCTAAAAACAAGTCGTATTCTTTCTGTTTCCTTGCGTTCATTGAATTTTTTTGAAATGTTTTTAGGAACGTTTTTTCTTCAAATTAGTGTTGTTTCCAGTGCGCGGTGTGATTAGAGAACAATACCAACGCGTAGGAATTATGTTAACTAGGCATAATCGACAACAGAAAAAGATTGTTTCAATAAAAGAATCGTTTCAAAAAAAAGCTTGTTGAACAAAAAAAACGTAAAAAAAATTCTACTACCTGATTTTGGGTGGAAAATAAAACAGATAAAAAAATAAAACACGCCCGAATACAAAATTCCTCTTCATTTCCAATGGTCGGAACAACAAAATTGCTTGCATCAGGAAGAATCGCTGTGTTCTATGAATATTTTATATTAAATACTGCGCGCATAAAAATATAAATCAAACCTAAAATATGTCCCCGCGTGCATTATGATGTTCTTAATTATAGTCAATTAATCATTTCGTTTTAATCATTTTGCATTATGATGTTCTTAATTATAGTCAATTAATCATTTCGTAGGCAATCATTATTTGGAGCATGCTTGTGGGGAACTGTATTGAAAAAATAGAGATTTTTTTCCCCTACAGCTGCGCTAGCTCTGATATCTTTTTTGACTAGCCATTACGCGGCCAAACTGTGCATTTTGTGCCTTGTAAGCGGATTCCGCAACAAGGACGCTCCCTTTGTTCTTCTTTTGTTCTTTTATTTTCTTTTATCGTTTCGACAAAACTTCAACATGCAGCTACAAAATTGTGCTCCTATCCAGTGCACAGTTTGGCCTCGTAATGGCTTTTTTTGTTTTTTGAGTTACTCTCACCGCTTTCTTTCTGAAATAAATTTCGTTTCTGTTAAAATCATTTTAGAATCAGCAACATATTTGTTCTCCTGAAAAAAAAGACGAAATGTTTGTGCTCATTGTAATTTTTTGCTCGTGTTTTTGAAGAAAAGATCGGAATATTATGCGTGCGGTGAGAAAATGTTGTACCGTTTTTTTTTGTAAAATTATGGCATTTCTGAATGTGGGACTAGCTTAATAAAATTTGGATGCCTACCCGCAGCGGAGTTTCATGGATAATAATCCATTATATTGAATTTTTGTGGTCTGTCTCAATAAATTTTGATAATAATCGATTAGAATCGATTAAAAATGGATTACAAGCCAGTATTTATTTACATCAATATAATCCATTCTAAGCGATTATAAAAGATTATAATCCATTAAAAAGGGATGATCTTTCGTATATTTTTTTATGTCAATATAATCGCTTATAATCGGTTATAATCAATTATAATGGATTTTTTCGAGAGGTTAGTCATGAAATTTACAAGTTTTTTCAAAGTTATCGCATTTCCTGTTTAGTGCTGTTGCTTTATTAGGTTTCATAAAATGTTACATTTCACTTTTCAATTTTTATAGTTTTTGTCTTATATACCCCGTTTACCCCTCTCCCTGTTAACCCCCCCCCCCCCCCGTTTTCCTCCTTGTTTACAACCCCCCTTAACCCCCCCCCCCCTGTTTTACTCCCAGTTTACACCCCCCCCCCCCCCGTTTACAACCTCCCTGCCACTTAACCATAACCGCCATTCCCTCCCTTTATGGGGGGTTATTTATTGGTAGTTGGTAGACTTTGGGTAGGGGGTTTATGATATTAACCCCCCATCTTAATTTTACTCCCCCCCCCGCGTTTACTGAACGTGGTAGGGGGGGGTAACAAATATGAGCGGTAGGGTAACCTGAACAACTGAGTATACTCCCTCACCCGTCGCCGTTGAAAATGGTAAGCAAACTGCGCGGGAGGGGCTGTAACTTGAGGGGAGGGTGTTTAGCAAACATGGGGGTGGGCGTAGGGATAAGCGTATGGGAGTGGGGGTAGGGGGTTTGGGCAAACGCGGATGGGGGGCAAAGTGGGGAGGGGGTTAACTCGATTAGGTTTAGATTGCGAGAAGGCCGTGAGTAACGCAGAAATGTTGCAAGTTTTGCAAATGATTTTGCAAAAAAAAATGTATAGATTACAATCCGTTATAATCAATTATAATGGAGTTTAAATGGATTATAATCTATTATAATGGACTATAATCCATTATAATGGATTTTATTGGATTGTAATTTTACGAAAATAGTCGATTATATGACAATTTAATCGATTTCGTGGTATAAATTTGCCACAATAATGGATTATAATGACAACATTTTAGACAACATTTTTCGATTATAATCGATTATTATCCATGGAACTCCGGTGCGGGTAATTCTCTCTGCCTAAGTTTTATAAAGCGTGTTCAAGCGCTAAGGTTAGTTTAAGTGGACTTGAAAATAATCCAAGCTTAAATGAGGCAAGCTAAGTTTTCCAAACAATGCATTACTTGATTAAAAAAAAATAACTTTGATCTTGTAACTGTGTATCGCAAAAACATATGCTGAAAAAATTGAATATCAATATTTAAGGGTATCAAAAATTATTTCTGATACTTTTCCTGGCAATCTAACTAATTAACGCTTTGTCCTGATACGAGCAGTTATTCGACAAAATTTCATCAAAGTTAGAACAAAAAAATTCCACGGACATTCAAGGCCACGCCCCGATGATTGCAAATTTGTTTTATAACACAAATTTCTGCTGTTGTTGTTGTTGTTGTTGTTGTTTGTGGTTATGCCGAAAGGAGCTCATAAAGGCTTCTCTTCGCCAGCATCGTAGTTCCGTATGGATCTGGAGATAGGATGGCTAGTCCCACGTTAGTTGTGCCAAAAATTTCACAACTGCGAGGTTCTGCCAGGTCTCCGACCTGTCCGGAACTTCTTCCACTGATGAGGAGGTTTCATTGGAATCTTGTTCGCCTCGTAAAGGCACTCCTCTCGAACTGTGGTAGTTATTGGTTAGTATTTTTTCTTTTTTCTTGGGTTTTTTTGCTTAGTTTCTGTTCGAGAAGTCAGAAGTCAGCTGTTCCCCCAGTTGTGAAAACGTTTTCGAACCGCTCTATCACGTGCTCTATTTTTGTTTACAATTTTTCTGGAGAAAGATATCTGGACTGTTCAAAGGCCAGGGAAGTTATGTTTGGGTATGTGTTTGTGTGTGTAGGAAGCGTACAGCAGTAGAGTGTTCCTGCAGCTGATCTCCAACTGGGAAAAGTTTGTGGTGTTCTTCAGTGGCTTCAGAGGCCCCCTCTCGTTCTGGCTGTCGATGTATGTCGCCGAGTGTTTCCGTGAGTTGAGATCCTCTTCATCACCACATGGTCATAACAACTGTAGGCTCACTGCCTAATTTCCAAATGGACCATCTTCTCATGTGGCCGCAGAACCGAATGGCCAATAACTGTCTATCAACTTCCCCTATACTGTTCAAAAATGACTGAATTTTTTTAAAGTCATTTCGATTGTTTGCATGATTACTGCAATTCAATTGGCTAGCTCATCGTTCGGCTAGGCGGGTATTCCCATTTTATTTTCAAACCCAATTCTTAAGTTCCGTGTGCTTCATTTGGACACAGTTCCGTTGTGTTGAGCACGTGATAGAGCGACTTAAACCCTGTAGCAACTGCAAAAGTCGCAGAAGTTTGGAAATAATGTCCCGACCATGCAAATCTGGCTCAATTTTCTAATTTTGACAAGGCATTATATCAAGGCATTAAATGCAGACCTCGTTCGAATAAGAAGTAGGCTTTTTGAAAGTTAAGTCCGCATCACTTTGTCCTGGCAGCAATCGGACAAGAACGACAACACTAAATTTATTATTGTTTTGTTTTCGTAATCTCAAAGGCAAATTTAAAAAAAATTGATGATATCTTATTTTTAGTCAACGTTTTTGCTGTGTTTTTTATTTTTTTTAAAGCACTTGCTATCTAAACTGTTTTGTGAACTTGCATTGTTTTTAAGCATACGAGTTAATGAGCCCCAAACTGAAGCAAGGCATCACCACAGCTGTTCTTGTGGCCATATTGGTGACAACTTTTGTCCAGGGTCCAACCATCAAGGCATTCGCTGCATGTTTGGTCGGAAACCAAAGTTAGTCTTGTCTGAATTTAAATTTAGGAAATTTGAAGTATAACTATGTGCCAAATCTTATTTAGCTTTTATTTATTTAGTGGTTTTTTTTATTTTTTTTTCAAGAAATTGAAAAAATTTTGTGCTCAAATTTTGGGGTTTGACTTAGGAATAAAGTAACTTCAATCGCCAATTGGTAAGGCAATTAAAAAGTTAAACTAAAAATGTTGCGCAAAAAATGCCAGCGAAAAAATCGGCACCTGTTGATACGGTTTTCTCAAACTAAATTAAATTTGATTCCAATGCAGAAAGTATAATGATTATTTAGTCTTGACATCCAAACATACATCTAGCGATGAGTTTATTGCTTAAGCCTCGGATGTCGATTTAAGAAAAAAAAACTAGCTGTTTATGTTTCCTTTTCCTTGAGCCCATTAACGTCTTCCAACTATCATCTGTTGGGATCTCTCTAATTATCTCCTCCCTGTTGTAACCCAATGCCAATACTCTGACTATCTATGTCAACGGTTGAGCCTATGTGAATTTTGTCTCTATCAACCCACCTACCCTTTTGCAAAAGGAGGATAGTTGAATGCATCTATCTATTGGCTATTTGTGTAGTTCCACTGGTCCAAAAGAGTCCCCGACGAGTAAGACGAAGAAAGAAATACCTCTCCGTGATCACATCTTCAATTTCTGGGCCACTTAAAGCCGGCTTGAACTCAATAATCCAGAAACAATCAACGTGTTGCAGGTGTCGCAAAAAGACAGAACGAAAAGTTGGATTCAACCGTCAAAAAAGGGACC